AATTTAAGAGTAACATTTATTGACAATATGTGCAAATCTCATTTACAAATTAGACCTATTCATGAGTTGGGTTTTGGGCCTGGCTAGTTGAAATTTTAGCAAAAGCCAAACCCGAGCCCGTAATAGGTCTGTACAAATGTACATAGACATACTCTATATATGCACTTGTATACATAATTAGAAAAAGGATATTTTTATATAAATATAACACACATGTGTATATATCTTTCAGGTGGGCTCAGGTTGGGTCTAGCCTAGTTTGGGATGGGCTGGGCTCGAGCTACTCAAGACCTTAACCTAATCCACAGCTCAAAAACTTAGGCCCAACCCATGTAAAACTTAGGGTGGTTAGGTCGAGATCGAGTTGGACCCGCCCAAGTTGCACCCCCTAGCTATAAGCCTATAGCTTAGATCTAGGCCCCTACCACCTGAAACATAAGCCTTGGGGCAAGCTTGATTCTAGAATTACGATATTTATGTATAAAATATTATATATATATATACAAATTTATTTTATATATTATATAATACAAAAGTATTATATATACATAATATATTATAGGTGTCACATTAAAATATTTATACATAAAATACAAAAAATGGCATACATATTTATAAATAATATATAAATAAATATGTGGATCAGGCTTGAAGTATTGAACCCAAGCCCAGCTTGGAAATTTGGGGTTGTGCTTTTTCTAGGTTAAGGTTGAAAATGATCACCCATAGGATGAAGGAGATAAGTATTTTTCTAAAGCAAATAAGACAACCTAGAACTAGGGGACATGTTTTACAATTGTCAATTCATCTTGCCTTAGTTTGTTCATTTTTAGCCAATAAATATAATTTAAATATTTTTGAACTATAATTTAAATTTTAATTAATTAATTTTGTTGATTAACTAATTAGTAATGTCATAGGGCCAGCTATACATAACAAAAAAAGACGCTTGAATTTGACTTAGACCGGCTTGGTTCAATTGAGTATGTTATAGAGGTCCTTCTACTTCAATTCTGCTTAACAAAGCCCATGCATCACATGGGTCCCAACTACTATGTGTATAAAGTGTGTAGTCAAACCAAGCTCAGGCTACTTAAGGGTTAGGCCTAAGCCCAACCTAAAAAATAAGAAAGTTCAGAGTTTTGGGCCCAGATACAGCTTGAGGACGATAAATCCAAGCCAAGCCCATATAGGACCGGTTCAGGGTCAGCTTGGGCATGGTCTAATTGCATCCCTAAGTGAATCCAATCAACCAGACCGGATTTGACTCGACGTGAACCATATCTATAGAGGTGTCAATTGGACTGGATTTGGTTCAATGTGAGTCCACTACAAAAGGACCAGGTCCAATCCAATCCAATGAATATTTTAGACTATTTTGAATCGGTCCAATTCAATGTCTAGACCAATATTTCAAATTTGTTTTAATTTAGATTAATTCTAATTAAACCTAATCTCTTAACATCTATATTCTTATCTTTTATCAATGACTAGATATTGACTCCCTCCAACCCAATCCAATATAAATTCATAGCAGATGAACCAGGTCCAAGCTAATCCAATAAATACTTTAGACCATTAAATCCGGACTGGTCCAATTCAATATATATCTTGTTGGACCGTCCAATGCATCCAAATTGATTTTGATTTGGACCAATCCAAAACCGATTCATAACACCCATTATCAAAACCGTGAATCAGGAAGGGAGACAAAAGAATTGAGAAGAAAACAAAGACAAAACCGTGAATGAGTAACCAAACAAAAACAGCACAGACATGAAGACATTACGTGTGTGGCCTTCGCTCCCACAACCGAGGATGTGGTTGACAGCCCGTTATCACGTTATCTCCCTCTCAATTCCTCTCATCCTCATCCTCCTTACCAAATAAATAAATAAGTAATATTTAATATATATTTTTTAAATTCTAGAGAAAGTATAATACTAATAAATAATATTTTCCATTTTCATCTCTTTCACTGTCAGCCGCACGAATATTGATTTGGTGTACACTTATCTGCCACGTGGACATAGGGTCCCACATACGTCAATGGCCTCCTGTGATCCTATAAATCGATTCATCGTCGCCTTTTCTCTTTCGCCTATACTTTATCCGCCAAAGTTGGAGCTGCTTCTGCTTACTCTGGAGGTGGAGTTTCCACCAAATTTGAGGAGATATTCTACGAGGTATGACAGTGAATCCTTTTCTCTCTCTTTCTCTACAAATTACTCTGATACTCTGATAGACTCGGTTTTCAGGTTAAAGTTGGAGATTGTCAGATTTACTTAAAATTTTGTTCTGAAGCTCTGTTCTTCCTCCAAATGTTTGATTTCGGTTTTCGAAACTCCTGATACGGTTTTGCGAGAAGTTTACAGACTTTTTAGAATTAATTAGAATGAGAAATGATTGGAGATGGTCGAAGTTACTTAAAATTTTGTTCTGAAGATCTGTTCTTCCTCCAAATGTTTGATTTCGGTTTTCGAAACTCCTGATACGATTTTGCGAGAAGTTTACAGACTTTTTAGAATTAAGCAGAATGAGAAATGATTGAAATAGAATTTAAAATTTCTTCATCAGGAAACTGGTAAAATAGAGCGCAAAATTGTTGTTTTTGGAGTTATTTTAAATGTTTTTTGTGCTTATTAGTTTGAACTTTGGCTTTCTATTGAAGTATATTTTCGTCTTTTGAAATTTCTTTGGACAGTTAACTGCCTGGGTCAGCAGTTTACTGATCAAAATCAATGGTTTTTGAGAAAAATCCGATTTTGGGAAAAAACAGAAACGGTCACCTGAACGATTCTTGATTTTTTCTGGTCCGACCGTCCGGTCTGGTTCGGTTTTGAAAACCATGGGAAAAAATATCAAAATAATGGACATGTTAAAGCACCTTGTAGTTTTTTTTACAACTTTTAATGTGTGTATTTTTCTGTTTTTTCTATATTTTCTTTTCCCTTTGTTGCATTTCTGTAATTTTTTATTTTTATATTTTGTTGTGTTTTCCTTTCTTTTTCAGTTTTTGTTCTATTTCTTACATGACTGCAATTTCTTTTATAATTTTCTTTATTTGTTATACTTTATCAATTTTATAAAAGGTCTCATAAAATGAAAGAAGGGCAATTTAGGGGTTTAGAAATATTTAAACTTGAATACCAGAGTATGAAAGACCCCTGAAAATTGCGCTTCCCATTCCTCAACCAGTATTGTATAGAACTAAGATGTTAGAAGGATTTGAACCTAGGATGTTTATTTAAAACATAAATATTTTAACTATTAGGCCACTTCATGATGAATTGAAATCAGCCCCCCACAAGATAGTTTCCCACAACATCCCACAGTACAACCCTGCTGTGTATTGGGAACATCTCCTGATGATGCTCATCATTTTTTATACTTTTCATCGGGAGATGTTCCTAATACAAAGCGGGGATGTGTTGTGGAAAACTATCTTGTGGGGGGCTGATTTGAACTCCTTCGTGACATCTTGTTAAATTATTTTTTATAAGCAACCACATTATATCCATGTATATTAAAGTGCAAAAAATATTCATTTGCAAATACCTAAGTCTTGAACCATAAATTCTAGTCAAACCAGCTTTGAATGATTTTGGCTCTATAATCTCAATTATCCAATTAAGAAACTATTTTTTGGATGACTAATTTCTTAGGAGAATGTAATTCTCCTAACACTATTATTTATTAAATTTTTATACTACACATAACACTATTATTTATTAAATTTTGTAACCTTTTATATGATCATTAATGAGATTTATATGATTTATATTATTAGTTTGTTAAGCTATGCAATGTATATGGATGCTTTCTTGAGACATTTTGATGGTTTATACATGGTGAAATTATACTATACATAAAGTCATAGATTATATAAAATTCATATATTTTTAATATATATTTAAATTTCCATTATATATATATATCATCCAAAGCATATCTAAAATCCAAATTCGTTGCTTTGCATCACATAAGTAAAATGCGATGCCCCTCTTAAAAAGAAATAGTGTGCTATGCTAGTGCTAAAGATGCCTTTAGTGGGTTTATAGTTGGGTATTAGGGGTGTTAATGGTGAGTCCGGATCTCCTACTCATGAGAACTCTGTTCACGTTTATCGCAACCACACATGGAAAATATCTCTCCTCTACATAGTATTATGCAGTGGGAGATGTTCCCAATTCACGGGGGGTAGTGTATTGTAGGTAGGCATGGGTAGGAGATCTGGAGTCATTAACGGTATTCGAAAATCTGATTTCGAATTTAAGATTTGACATAATCGAATTAAATTCAAATAACCTAATTTGATTCGATAAATATCTGAATTTGACCGATTATTTAATTTTTATATAAAATATATAAATCATTTAAATGTTTTATATAATTTATATATAATTAAATTATATAAATAAAATATTTATTTTATATATTTATTAATTACCCAAAATAATTAATTGATCGAGTTCTAATCAAATGTTTAAATATTTAATCAAATTCAAATATAATTTTTCGATAAGTAATTGACAAAATGTAAAGGCACAGTCAAAGTGTCACTATCCCCCTAATAATTTATCCTAATTTTTATTTTTATATTTTATTAATTGTTATTATTATGAATAAGTAGTCTATTATTTTATTAATTGTTATTTTATATTTTTAATATTTTCTTTTTGTTTTCTAGGACAGATCATGGTCTAACTTGTAACTTGTAAAGACTGGACATTCTCTACTTTAGTAAGCCACGTCATGGGTTAATTATGATTGGCTCATGGTCTGACCAGATTATCAACTATTTTGGTTCATATTCGTTCTTGGCCATTCTTCCCAATCCAGAGCACACTAACTCTAACCGAAGTTCTTATCTAATAAGGCAACGGAAGACAGATTCTTAACAAGATTTGGTGCCTAACCTAAACCTACCAACACATTGGTTCTGTACCGAAGAAAGTACATATGTGCCTTCTCATTTCAGGGTTGGGTTGAGCTGGATTTGTCAAGGGCTGAATCCAGGACCAACTCAAGCTTGGGGTGGATCAGCCCAATCCAAAGTTGAATAAAATGATAAAATCAATCCCTGCTCGCCTTCTCGGCCTAAAGCCCAATCCAAAATTGAAAGAAAGCAATCCTCTGGTTCAGTGACTCAGTGGGTTGTTTTTAAGTTCATTCCCCAGCTGCCTGCATAATTTCTGAACTTGTTGATGTTTGGTAATGGATTTTCTTTCTTAGCTAGACAGAGTACTGGAAGACTGATTTCCTTGATGGGTTTGCAGGCAAGGTGTTTTGATGCTAAAAGGCTCCAGGAATTAGCTAAACCCAGTTGTCATCGTTGTGAAGTTTGGAGTAGGAAAAGATGGATTACGTTTATGCTCCAGGAAGGAACCATCTTTTTGTTCCGGGGCCGGTCAATATCCCGGAGCCTGTCATTCGGGCAATGAACAGGAACAATGAGGACTATCGCTCCCCTGCTGTGCCAGCTTTGACAAAGACCCTTCTTGAGGATGTTAAGAAAATTTTCAAAACCACCACTGGAACTCCATTTCTGATCCCCACAACAGGTACTTTTACATTCCTTATTATGTAATTTTCTTGTTATTTGCACTGGTTTAGGTGCATGGGAGTGCAAATAGGCTGTATAAATTTTGGTTTACTTTTGCTTCTGATTAGACCTTGTTTTGTTTTGTTTGTTTGTGAAAAGTAAAAATGGTGTCGTCAAGAGAATGAAGTATAATATTCAACATCCATTAACTGTTGATAATCAAGCGTACAGTTGAACTTGTATGCTTTACTTCTATTTGCATTGCTTCAACAGAAAATGATTCAAGAATCTATCTAAATTCCATTTGACAGAATGGAATTGTGTATTGTGGGTGGTCATTATTAACTAAAAGCAAAACAAAATTATATTTTAGAAGGCTAGGTTAACTACTGATGCTGAATGAAATTGAATTTCTATTACCATGCAGAGCTTTGTACTTTTAACAGCTCATTGTTTCTGATACTATGGCTGAGTTTGGAAGGAGTACAAATGCAAATATGTAGAGTGCAAAACCTTATATTTTGTATTATTTTGTATGTATTTACGCTGTACATATTTGCATTTGTTCTCTTCCCAAACTGAGCCTATGTAAATCTGATTACAACATAAAAGAGCCACAATTCAATTCAGTTAGGTTGGAAATGAATTATTAGAATTGATTAGTCTTTCTTTTTGAAGAAAGACAAAGTATAATGGATTGGTTAGCCTTCTCATCATGATTTCATCTTTGTCCAAGTAATATCTTATTCTATTGACCAAAGAAAATCTCCAAATTTACTTTGAGACTAACTCAACCTGGATCTCTTTTTTTTTCTACAATGAAATTCTCAGAACATTCTTCATTATTCCTTGGATAACCTTTCTCAGTCCTAAAGTTGGATATGATGATGAGTTATGTCTGTAGCATAAATTAGGTAGGATTGTGCTTAGTTTCTATTTCTTGGAATGTTCTTGTCATAATTCAGACATCACAAATTCCTGTTTTATGTCTACTTATGATGATATGGCTGTTCTGCTCCAGGTACTGGTGCATGGGAAAGTGCACTCACAAATACATTATCTCCTGGTGATCGGATTGTATCTTTTCTCATTGGACAATTCAGCCTTCTCTGGATTGACCAACAGCAACGCCTCAACTTCAATGTTGATGTCATAGAAAGTGAATGGGGCCAGGGTGCCAATCTTGATATTTTGGCATCAAAATTAGCAGCAGACACTGCACATACCATTAAGGCTATTTGTATTGTCCACAATGAGACAGCAACAGGAGTTACCAACAATTTGGCTACTGTGAGGAAAATACTTGGTAAGAGAAAAGTTTATAGGAAAAGCTGTGCTGTGTGAAATTTGTTGCTGAATAAATAACATTTTCCCATATTTTAATATTTTTTAATATATCTTCCTTATCATTTCTTATACTTTAGTAAATCACTATATAAACTCATCTCACCTAGGCCCTTTAGAGTCAAGCTTCTGCAATGCATGTTAAAATGTCATATCTATCTATCTATCTATCTATCTATCTATCTATCTATCTATCTATCTATCTATATATATATATATATATAATGTTGAGCTTTTGGTTTACAGAATGAAACTCTTTTTGTACATTGATCTGTAATTCTTCTATTCTTCGTGGTCTACTCTCTATTAACAACTTTGGAAATCCCATATAGATTATGACYTGGATCAGATCAATTCTTTTTTGAATCTCTATACGTGCAATTCCCTCGAAACCTGAGGATATTCTCATATTTTTTTGTACAAAAGTCTTGATACAATATCGTATTTTTTGATCTTCCTGGAGACCCTCAGAATAACTTTTTGGTTGTGCAAACCAGAGGGAATGATGCCCCTGGGTTGTMCCAAGTCTGAAACCAAGTGGATTTATTTTTTGACCCATACCACCCCRCTACTATATTTTTCAGTACGCACTCTACCTGTATACTTATCTCTATACATCCATATATAGGTTACTTTAAATCATGGTTTGAAGTAATGAAGCAATGATAGAATAATAAAACTGACAGGAAACCTGTAAAATGACCAAAATCTCTCTAAATGTTCTTGTTATATAAAACTGGGATAGTAGTAAAGAAAGAGTGCTGACTGTGGCTCATCCTATTGTTGATAAACAAGGCACATCCCCATTGCAAAGACAAAAGATGCCTCAAGGGTACTTTTGTCTTTTGACACAGTATCAGGGAGTGCTCCCTCATGAAAAATAGGATTTGCCCAAATTACTCCCTAAAAGAATACAGTAGCATTCTTTTTGTTTGCAAAAAGAGTAAATATTGAATACCATAACATGACTTTCTAGACTATTTCCTGTTGATTGTTACCTGATGTAGTCCATTTGTATCTCTTCTAGTATGTTGGATTACAAATATTAATTATTTCAGCTATCCAGATTTCCAACCGTTCATGCACATCCAAAAAAACACAAAAAAATGTCCATGGATATATGGATATGTTTTACTGCTTTAATGGTTTTCTTTTCTATTCCTTTTTTCCATCTTTTTCTTTTATAACTTGTTAAATCTACTTTTTTTTTTAAATAAATATTTTCTTCTTTTCAATTTATATTCCTGAACAGACTCCTCATGTTGCAAATGTATTGATTACAGATCACTACAGACACCCTGCATTGTTTCTTGTTGATGGAGTGTCATCAATCTGTGCTCTTGATTTCCGTATGGATGAGTGGGGAGTAGATGTAGCTTTAACAGGCTCTCAGAAAGCTCTTTCTCTTCCCACTGGGATGGGCATTGTGTGTGCAAGCCCCAAAGCACTAGAGGCATCCAAGTCTGCCAAATCAGTAAGGGTATTCTTTGATTGGAATGACTACTTGAAGTTCTACAAGTTGGGAACCTTTTGGCCATACACCCCGTCCATCCAGCTTTTGTATGGGCTCAGAGCAGCTCTGGATCTCATATTTGAGGAAGGACTAGAAAATGTGATTGAAAGGCACAGTCGTTTGGGCAAAGCAACAAGGTAACACGTTACACACCCATCTCTTTCCTTCCTGTAATCCCTTTGGGAAGGTTTTCTTCTGTGGCTTATGTTTAGTCTAATTAGAGAAGTAGAAGTCAATAGTCTTACAAGTTTGACATGCAGGCTTGCTGTTGAGGCATGGGGCTTGAAGAACTGCACGCAAAAGGAGGAATGGTTTAGCGACACTGTCACAGCTGTGGTTGTTCCTCCGTACATTGACAGTTCAGAAATTGTTAGAAGGGCTTGGAAGAGATACAATTTGAGCTTAGGTTTGGGCCTCAATAAAGTAGCTGGAAAGGTCTTCAGAATAGGGCATCTTGGTAATCTTAATGAGGTACAATTCAGTATTTTTCTCATCCCTTTCATGCTGTAGAATGCTTGTTTATTTGCTAAAGTAAGAACTTTCTCTTAGTTGAACAACATAGAGAGAAGGGATCTTGGCATGGTCCACTCATTTGACACTCTTATGTCATAAAGTATTTAAAAGCAGAATCACACAGGGTACCAGAATGAGTTTTACAAGACACCCTTGGAAGCTACATTTGTCACGGACACTCAATTAGCTAAATTTTATTGACATTCATAATGTGAATTGGAAGTTTGAGTTGTCTTTAACTAATTGCTATTAGTGGATAACTCATCATCATCATCATCATCTAAGCCTTGTTCCAACAATATGAGGTTGGCTACATGAATCCTGTTTCACCATTTTGTTCTGTTTAATTCAATATCTGTTGTTAAATTATTTGCGGATAGCTAAATCATCAAATTACCATGGCTTGTTAAAGATCAAGCTATGATGGGACTTGCATCTTGTCTATACCCATCTTTTATATAACCAAGTTGTTTCACTGGTTTCCATCTACTATACTTTTGTTTTATTTTCTTGCATTATGACCATGAAAAGATGATTGTACTCTCCTTTTGTTTTTGCAGCTGCAATTGCTTGGCTGTCTGGCTGGTGTGGAGATGATACTGAAGGACGTAGGATACCCAGTTAAGCTGGGAAGTGGAGTAGCAGCAGCTTGTGCATATCTGCAAAACAACATTCCATTGATTCCTTCTAGGATTTGATATCCGTCCATGATGTAACTACTCTTTTCTATCATTTAGTTCATGTACTTTGTATAAAAAGGATAATTTTCTCAGTGGACTCATTTGAGAAAAATCTTAGAATCACCAACTAATACATATAGTTCATTCGTAATCCTTTATCTAGAAGAAAACTTGGATCTGATCTACTGTCGTTCTTTCATTGGATTCTCATTGTTTGGTGCTCAAATGCATGTTGCTCCTTGCTAGCTGATATACATACCTTCACATACATCAACTCAAGTCAAGTGAAGTCAGCTTTAATCCCTACTATTTAAATTTAGGGTCAGTTGCATGAATTCTTCCTGCCATTGTTGTGGTCTATCAAGATTCATGTTGCTTTTGATACACAAAATGAGGATCCTGTTAGAAATTATGGGGGTATCAACACAAATGTTCTTGTTTTCATTTGTTTTTGAAATCGCAAAAAAAAAAAAAAGCATGTTCTTGAAATCCGATTTGTTTTCAAAGGAAAAAACAAATTGATTTTGTTTCAAAAAGCAATACATGTTTCTGGAACCATCAAAATAATGGTATTTAAAACAAAAACCAAATTTTGTAGTATAGAAATTATATGGTTTATGGAACATGATATTAAATAACTAGATGAAAGCATGTTTTTGAAACCGGAATTCAAGAACATGTTTATGGTTTTAGTTTTGAAAACGAAAGACACATACACTGGCAAGAACATGTTTTTTGTGTTTTTGTTTTAAGAAACCATATGTTTTCAAACCAGATAGTTTTGCTTTGTTTTTGGAACTGGCAACAAGAAAAGCATCTCACGTTGTAGAATGCCCCTGATCAAAATAATAGTTTTTAAGACAAAAATAAATTTTGTAGTATAGAAATTATATGATTTATGAAACATGATATTAAATAACTAGATGAAAACATGTTTTTGAAATCAATAATTTTAAGAACTTTTTTCTATTTCAGTTTTGAAAACAAAAAACACAACCAAGAACATGCTTTTTTTGTGTTTTTGTTTTGAGAAACAATATGTTTTCAAACCAGATGGTTTTGCCTAGGTGTATGAACCATGAACTACCCCAAGTTGGACAAGATTCATCTGGGGCTTGTAATGCTGTTGAACTCTAGCTCATTTTGCTCTCTAACCGTTGAGAAAGTTCTTGGAGTCATTCTCATCATTCTGAATTTGTGATTTAGGGCTATGACAATGAGCAAAAAAACTGCTTTACAGATTACTTGACTAGATGATTCAAAGTAGGTTTTGACTATGATATTGGAAAAATATGATATCTGAAAAACTTCTGACCAATCAAATGGAATCATTAATATGGTAGCCAATCAGGTGTTATTTATCAAAATTCATGGGTGGGTTTTGATTGGTCAAAACTCTTCTGATACTATGTCTTTCCCACATAATAGATTTTTCCTTCAGAAACATTTTTATACTTGTGGATGACGACCCACAGTGGGTTTCATACTTCATACTCTCACATACAGGACCAGTTAGCTGAATGCAATGGCTGTGTAGTGGGGGCTATGGAACCAATTGTAATGCCCCACACCAGTCATATATAGCCGACAAGCACTTGGCATTTATAGCTGAAACATGTGAGCTATATTTTGGCTATTCTTATGATGACAACTTTGGCTTTTCTTTTTACATAGAGAGAGAAGCTTTCATTGCACAAGTCTAAGAGCATAGATTTATAGAAGACCATAGACCTCGTTGATCCGACTTGAACTAAAACCGAGCCAATCTAGTCCAACCCAAGATAACAAACTAAGCCAAGCCTTGACTGGTGGCTCAGTGGCTGATAGCTATTGATAACTGGCCACTTTAGTTCTTAAAATTCTAGAAAGTTGATAAGTTAAAAAGAACATATAAAGGGACCCCTTGTCTGAATGGGGACCTGAATTCTCCCATCCCCCTAAACCCAGACTCAATCTCTCTCTCTCTGTTCTTTCTCTCTCTTCCATCGACTTTGCCACTGATTCACCATCGTTTGCTGGAATGTATGTAGTGCAGCCCCTTCGGAGTCTGCCCGATCTCTTTTCTCTCATGTTTTCCCTTTTTGGTTCACTGCTTGCTACCTATTTAAAATTTACTTCTATTTTACACAGAAACAAACGCGACCAATAGGGAAAAGAAAAGGAATTGCTTGTAGTGAGGATGCATATTATGTGAAGTATAAAGCCTCAGAACTTGGCACACTTACTACACATATGGTGTAATTCACCTTTGAGTGCCTACAAACACTGACTTCTATGTTTGAGCTAATAACTTTCAAAGATTTCTTCCCGTCTAAAGGTTAATAAAAGTATAAACTCTACAAACAAAAAACCGCCATCATATTTCAACTTTTAAGCTGATTTTTATCTTCTTCACAAAATCATCAGTCGGAGGCATTTAATCCTCTACTGCAAGGACCGAAAAATCGCAACACATCGGGGCGTATTGGACTATTGGCTGATACGTATTGTATCGGTGACCTCCGATATACCCCTAAACTGATCTGGTTTAGGCGGTAGACAGACCTTAAAATGACCCCTTGAACCAATTTAGAAAAACAAACTAAATAAAAAACATAAAGTGCAGCACAATACATGCCAGTGTTTCAACCGACATATCGACCTGTATTGTTCTATTTGCTGACCATGAATGCAACTTGGGTCCATGGTTTTAAAATTAACCAAAAAATATAACCACTTTGGCCACTTGTTATTGGGTCAAATAATTTGACTGTTCGGCCTAAACCCCAATTAGATGGTTTTGGGGTCCAAAACCAGACCTGGAGCCATGACTGGTCCTAGGTCAACTGGTCTGACTGTCCAGTCAAGTCCGATTTTCAAAACCATGCTTGGATCAAATCATGTTGGACTTGGACATTTACGAGATTTTCAATGGGCTTGAGGTTGTGCTATTGAAATTCTGCAAATCTGACAATGCACTTACATTAGGGGTGAGCATGGGTCGGTTTGGTTTGGTTTCATGTTTTTCGAACCAGAACCTACCCTGCGAAGGTCGGTTTTAGCCTTGGCGGTTCTGGTGTTGGTTCCAAGGCCTACTTGTGGAACCTGTTTTACTGTCCCACTTCAAAAAAAAAACGAAACATGTCCTTCAAAAGCTTGATTTTCAATAATATAATATATAGTTTAAGACTTATATTATCTTCATTAATTAAATTGAGTAATTTAATATATAAATCAAATCGAGTAATTGATCAAATTTTGAATCCTTGCTTTTTCCTGGTGTACAAAGCACGCATAGAGAGGCCAGGTAGGCCCATCATCTTATGCCCAAGCCCAGACAAATCCTATATTTTAAAGGGCCTCCTACTTTAGGTTATTTAGATGTGGCCCATAAGAGGCTTAAGAGCTTGCACTTGTCATTAGGCCTAAGCCCATGTGTCAGTGATGCAAGGAGGTTGGTTCCACTGTGCACCGTTTGGAGACGATTTAAGCCTATTCTTGGGCCCACAAAGAGTGAGAGACTTCTGCCTGATCTTCCATGACCTCAAATGGAAGTCCTTGAGTTTCAATTACATCTAAATTCATTGGAGGAAACTCCTACTCTTTCTTCAGATTTGGTGGGTGGATCCCCAGCACCTGGGAGAGGCAATAGTCAGGTTGAGAAGTTTATGTGTCTCGAAAATTTTCTTGGGGTGTCGTTAGATGAATTGCAGGTAAACCTGTTCATGGGCTGGTAGCTTGACGGCCTGGCCCCCGGACGGGCTTGGTTAGGTTTTTTAGCCCACGGGCTTGACCTTGGGCTTAAAAGCCTGGCCTGATTATCTTTTGAGCCGGGTTCAGGATTTGTCAAAAATGTCTGGCCCGGCCCAACTTTTTATATAATATAAAATATAATTATTTTTTATAATTTCTAAACCCTAAATCCCTTTTCCCTCTTTTCATCAATACTTCTCAATTTTCACTCTCAGTCTCAATCTTTCTATGGCTCAACACACCAACCGGCACCACCAATGAGCTACCAATCTCCGGTAAGTTGGCGTCAAGATTATGCTAGCAGTGATAGGTGGAAATCTTTTCTTTTTTTACTTTACCTTCTCCGGCAAGTTGGCGTCAAGAATATGCTAGCAGCGACATGTGGAAATATATATATATTTTTTTACTTTACCTTCTCCGGCAAACTTAGGCACCAACGCCACCAACAAACTAGCGGAAATATTGTTGTTTTTATCATTCTCCAGCGGCGATGAACTAGGCTAGCAGTGGAAACCGACGACGGTGAGTGACCAGGTCCTCTCTCTTGTTATCTTTCTCTCTCTCTTCCTTTCTCTCTATTCTGATATAAGGAAGTCGAACAAATTTCTCTCTGTTCCTCTCTGTGTCTCTCTTGGGCTTCAGGCTTTTTACGATGGTCGGGCTCGGGCCTACAAAAATTCTATTAATGCAGAGTGAAAACCTGGCCCGACCCATGAACAGGTCTAATTGCAGGAAGTCCAAGTTCGTGAGTGGTTCAAGTCCAAAGGTATTAATGCGGCCCAATCGAATCACCTAACCATGGTAAACAGCTCTGTTGCAGAAGATGAGGCTGAATCCTTGAGCTATAGCTCGGATTGGTCATCCGGTAGTTTGGATTACCTCCTAGGTAGAAGAAAGTCAAAATACTTGGATTTGTTCTATGATGTAAAGGTAACAAATCTGTCATGTGGCTTGAAAGGTAATAGGAGTGTGAGAAGTGTAAGAGGAAGAGGTAGCGAGGTAGAGGAAGATTTGCAGCCTATTCCTTGATCTGCTGGGGAAGTACGGTTTCCATCCTTAACCTCATTCTAGATTTTCTAGGTCTTGTGTCTCGGTTGGTTAACTCAGACTTTGTATGCCCTCCCCTTAGTTTTGGTGTGCCGAGTTGGGATAGTACCTCTGTCCTATTTAGGATGCTTTTCTCTTTGGGTGGATTTTTTGGTTCTGGTCTTTGTATAGGGTTGGAGAGGTCTTCGAAGGCCTGGTTTGTCTTGGAGCTTGGCAGTAGAGGCTTGTATAGGCCTCAATTGTATACAACTTGTAATTTAATATGTAGATTATCATAATATATTAATATATGGTTGAAAATTTGTCATTATGATTTAAATTTTATAAATATTACATTTTACATTATTTATTATACATATACAAATATTAAAATAAAAATAAATGATCAAATCACTTAAATAACTTG